TTTACAAGTTAGTCCAGCAGAACTCAGATCAGTATTCCAATACTTAGATTTGTTGAGTTATCTTGTTAGCCCAGCCCAGCCTCTCCTTCACATTCCTAGACTTATGAGTTATCTTGTCAGACCAGCCCGGCTTTTCCTTCACAGTCCAAGACCCCATCGTGGCCCAACTTGCATCCTTGCTCTAGGGCTTGGGGGGGGGTGTCACCCACAAAAGACTCTTCCTCTTTGGAAAATACTTGAATACCTAGTGGTCCCCAGCCCAACTCTGACCCCAGCGTGGGCACTGGAGACCTGGAGCCACAACAGAACCTGAGTTTACCTCACCAGGAGAGGGGCCCTGGCCCGAGATACATTCACTTACACTGGGTGTCAGATCTGGGAGGTCTGGAGGGTCTCCATATTGCTTGTTCAGGGTGTTGTAGGATTGCGGAAGTTCAAGACTGGATAGTCCTGGTGGCTGACATAATTCAACTCTTAACACCAACCATAAGAGTCGCCAGTTGCAGGCTTCACCTTAGGAAAGGTCATACCTTGGTCTAACCTCTTCCCGTGGCCAAAGGCGATTCCCAGTACAGGACGCAACAGTGACCCAGCAGCAGCCGATACTCCCAAGAGCTGCAGGATGAGTCATCAGCTAAGAAGAGAGGGTCTACTTACTACATCCACACAATCACCACTGCCCACCCCTTCACATCACTCAGAGGTACTTGCTTTCCATAGCAAGCTTTTACCAAGTTAAAAAACAGCTTCTTTGGGATTCAGGTGGTCTTGTCTCCTGGGAAGGCTTAGAAGAGGGACAAACTTCAGTCCCTACTGCTCGTTTATTTTGAAGCCATTACTCACACTTTCCCTCCTTCCTCCACCACCCTTTCTAGATTCCCCCTCACCTTTGACTAGCATTTCTGCCAATCTAGGCAGCATCTAAGGGGAACAGTGATTCAGACCCTCATCCCTGAGGGATTGGGTTCTCTGGTCACCACGTACTTCTTGAGCCATGGCTGTGTGCGTCTACCATTACACCTGGGAAGCAAAAGCATCAAGAGATCTTCCAATGAATCACTCAAGCAGCATCCTTAGTCTTCCCTGCCCCCATAGTGTAGCCGCAGCCCCCTTGCCTTCTCCTCAGAATCAGGGTTAATTATCCCTGCCAGTATGGTGACCCCTTTCATCACCTGCTTGTCTTCTGACAAAATGAGTCTGAAGTGACCAGGTCACAGCCAGAGCTTTAAGTTCAACAGGACTTACTATGACCCCTAATGACTGCCTTTGCTCTCTACAAACTAGAACCTCCAGTGAGATGGAGCCTCAAGTTGCAGGGACAGAAAGGACAAACACACAAGTGGACCAGTACAAGGTATGGTCACAGGGGCACACCATTTCCACGCATCAGTTCTGAGACACATACCTTCTACCTGTTAGGGACTCAGCACCGTGATAATGGGCATGGATTTGGGGCTTGGGTTCGCAAACTACAGCCTGTGGGTGAGGCAGGCTCTTTGCAGCTGAAGCAATCCCTGAAGGGGCTGACGGCTGCAGTCAGCACTCCCAGGAGCTGAGACAAGTCTTTCCTTGAAGGGGAGAATGAGTAGTGCATCTCCACATCCACCATAAGCAAGATCTGTTTGAGCCAGTATGAGTCTCATTTTTTAATGGGGGATATTACTAACTCACATTTATTGATACCTAATATGTAAGGACTTATTCCCATCTTTTGTGCCTTAAACCTATCATTTTTTCTTATGGTCTGTTTTTCTTTCCTTATCTTTTGTTAGATTAAGTTTTCAATGAGTTTTGAGATTGGTGAGTATTTTCCCCACTACTGCTTTAGAAACTGTGGCAGAGACTGTTGAGTTGCTCACCCATATCCACACCTCACTTATTCCTCACCAAAAGAACTGCCAGTTTATTGGGGTTGGCAACATGCTTACTTAAATGAATGACATTTCCCAGCCTCCCTTGCAGTTGGAAGGGTCATGATACTCACTGGCCAATGAGATGTTGCTGGATGAGTTTTTTGGGAAGCTCCTTAACAACTCATATGGTTGGGTTTTTTTTTTTTTGCCATTTTACCTTTTTAAATATTTTATTTATTATTGTATTTTTTGTTTGTTTTGGGGGGAGGAGGTAATTAGGTTTATTTTTTTAGAGGTGGTACTGGAGAATTGAATCCAGGGCCTTGTGCATGCTAAGCATGTGCTCTAGCACTTGAGCTATACCCTCTGGCCCCTTTGCCCTTGTACCTTAACCCTCTTCTCTGAAATAAAGACGATGGCCAGCACTCTGGTAACTATTTTGAGATTATGAGGACAAGGGTCACCTCCCTGAGATGGTGGGGAGGGAGTGAGATAATAGTAGCTTAGTCCCATGATGGCATCCCATACAAGGCCTGGGCTGCCCATTCTCAGATTTCTTTTATGTGATGTAAAAATTTCCAACTTTTTCAACTCACTATATTTTAGAGTTCTGTTAGCTGAACACAGTTTCTAATTTATATGGTTATACATCTTATCCCTTTTTCTCTGATAAGACTTACACTTAAACACGTACTTAATTTTACATTGTGGAGTTCTTGGAGCAAATCAGTACATCGCTCTTCTGCCCCAAGCAGGTAAGAACTTTACCCCAATTTTCTTTTCTCTACCCATTGCCTCCAGCAACCTCCCATGTCAGTATCTTCTAAAATGCTATACATATTTTTAGAGAAATATGCATTCTTATAGGAAAATCTTGTCTGCAACAATAAATTTTACACATTTAGGGGAAGGGTGTAGCTCAGTGGTAGTGTGTGCTTAGGTCATGCACGAGGTCCTTGGTTCAATCCCCAGTACCTCCACTAAAAACAATACTAATTAAAAAATACATAAATAGACCTAATTACACCCCTCCTAAAAAATAAATTTTACAAATCCATATTCACTACTTCTCATGTCATTCTCCTGGATGTTTTTGTCACGGAATTCATTTCCCAGAAAGACTTTCAGAGACTTTTGATGTAAACTTTGAGTTAGTAAGTCTTTGAATGAGTAAAAATGGTTTTTTGTTTTGCCCTTACCCTTGAATAATGTGTTAGGTCATCTATCAGTCAGTCTTTCAATTTCTTTTCTTGCAGAGCCCTGAGGATGTCACTCCGCTTTCTCCTTGCACCAGCATTGCTGCTGAGAAAGCCGATCGCAACCTGAAACTTATTCTTTAGTGGGTAGTTTTGCCAATTTTCTTTCTCTCTAAATATTCAGTTATTTTCTCTTCATCAGCTATGAGATTGTGCTGCAACCTGTTGGGAGCTCCATCTGTTTTCCTTCACCTTTTGAGGGCAATCAATCCATCTCTAAGCTCTGGGAGGCTCATTAATACTTTGAATGTTGCTGCTCTCCATCTCTGTTCTCCCTTTCTCAGGAACACTAATTCAACCACGACTGGAACTTCTGGGTTTTTATTTCCTATTTTTAGCCTCTTCATTTCTCTGCCCTTCGGTGCTAAATTCCAGGAGGATTCCTCATGTCAAATTTTCCACTCTCCAATCTGCACCTTAGTCACATCCACTCTGCTCTTTATCCCATCTGTCAGGTTTTAATTTGAACACTGTTTCATTCTAAGATCCATAAATGGCTCTTTTTAATAACACTTTACTCGTTTGTGGCCAAGATATCGTCTCCCATCCACTGAGAATATTAATTTCACTTCTTTAAATTGCTTTCTTAGTCTTTCCCTTGGCCACCATGTTTCTGATTGTTGAATTTTCACGCTGTTGGTTTCTTCCCAAGCCTGGTGATTCCCGGTTGGGTGCTCATCTTTGTTTTGAGAATCCTCCTGTGCCTGCTGATGCCATGTCCCTAATTCCAGAGACTGAAGGGGAGGTGTGGGGTGGGCTGAATTCAGTCTGAGTCTTTAGACTGGGCAGTGCAACACAGGTGCACCTGGTGGGGAGAGCCACCACGGAAGAACAGAATAGGGTGTGGATTTCCTAAGAGCAGGAAGAAAGTGTTGGCAAAGGAGGGGTGCCCAGCACAGAACCCGGGCAGGGGAAAGAGTCAACACAGGGGCCTGCTGGCAGTGTCAGAACCCATGCAGGGAGAAGAGTGTCAGACCACCAGTTGAGCCATGAGCTGGACCCAGGCAGTGGAGGTCTGTCACCCCCTTCCATCCTTGGAATATACGTTCTGCCCAACATTCCCACAGAGGCACTTTCAAGGATGCAGCGTTAAGAGAGCATGTTGTTGTTGAGAACATCTGGATGGTACACATGATGACTGCATCCCAGTAAGGCCTCTATTTAAACTTTCAAGATTCTGGCAAGCAAGTACCGAGATCTACTTGTCTGTTGCCGCCCAAGATAAGACTTGAAAGTTCCCCTACTTAGTAAACCTGCCACTTACCAATCTGATGTGCTCTGCTTCTTTCTTCGGTCTTTTCTTGCCCTCTTGAGTACCGGAACCAATTTATGAACCAATAGGAGCCACGATCAAGAGCTTGGGGTGGGTGGGCTCCTCTCAATCAGGGGGTGGGAAAATGAGCCCTGAGCAACCAGACCCAGGTGCGTGAATTCCTGGCCAGTGTGCTGCTATTGGCATCACAACACTCACGCAACCTTGCAGAGAGGAACCATGTGTACAGACCAAGCATGAAAGATGCTCCCCAAGTTGGTGACATGGCAGATCTGTACCCTCAACTTTCCTACCTATGTCAGACACTGCTAGTCAATCACAGTCTCTGCTCAGTCTGGACAAGGGCTGACAACTGTCCTCCCTGACAACCTTGGGGCCTCAGAAAACCCCTGCTGGTTCCTCAGAGCTAGCCTATGAGATGCCAAGTATTTCCTATCAATGGCTCTGACCACCATCAAGCAGAGAGGCTGGGAAAGACCACTTCACTGCTTTATTGGAAGGGGGATACATTCCGTCACAATGCAAGGCCCTGAGCCCAGCAAGATCTCGAGTTCGAGATGCAGCTGGTTGGCCGTGACTCTGTAGTGGCCCTTGATGAAGCCCCGGGAAGCGCAGGAATGGCACCTCCAGTAGGCCTGGATGATGCGGGCAGCACTGAGCAAACGGCAGTAGCGCCGACGGATGCGCCACATGCGGACCCAGGACTGTAGCCTGACTGCTGCCCACTCCTTCTGAGTAAAGATCTCCAGGGCTGCCCGCCGCCTCCTTTGCTCCAGCTTCACCAATGTTTGCTTCCACCAGGACTGAATGATCCACACCTGGAGTGCCGCGTGCAGCAGCGTCCTGCGCACCAGGGTGCCCCGCCACCAGGCCTGGATCTTGACTACTTCTGGATAACTGACAGGAGGCCTATTTGGGGTTCTTGGGATCTAGTAAGAAAAAAGAGGAGACATTTGGAGAATATACCCCACCCTCTCCAGCCCCAGGGTGTACCAGTAAGGGACCCTGATGCCCTGTCAGCAGTCAGCCCTTCTGAACCTCAGGAGAACTGGGCAAGACACTGGCAAGAACCAGAAGACCAGGTACTTGCCCCATCTCTGCTCCGGTCTAGTTAATGAACACAAACACATCACATTAAGCTCTGAATCTCAGAGTTCCCGTCTGTAAAGTGGAAGTATATCTGTCCAGGCTACCCAGTTTTACATGGGTCAAGTTGGCCACCTGAGGGCAATAATGCCATGATCAAATGGTTATCATATTCTACCTGAGCTTACCTACCTGACCGGGACCCATGACCCTTCCCCTTAGACCCCACCCACCTGCTGGAGCATAGGCATTCTTTGTTAATCCTACCCTTTCATCCTTGACTCCAGCTCCAATCCACAACCTGCTCTCTTCCTCTGTAATACCACATTATTAAAGGTTTCCCCCACGTCATAAAGTTCTACCTCTCACCCTTCCCCATCTTCACTTCTCTTGACCTTCACACTTGAAACCTTCATGAGCAAGCAAATGTACATGCACACATTCAAACACCGCCCCCCACTGATTAAGCCCAGCTTCCCATATGGTGGCCATTCCATTCTGCAAACACAGCTCCCACATTCCCACCCCCAGCCCTGTGGCATCTGGGTGGGGGGATCATACTCTACTGGGTCTATTGGTAGCACCATCCACTCCCTTTGTCACAACTATATTTTGGGGAAAGAAGACAGACAAAAATGAGTTTATTCCTGTTCTTAGCTCTGAAACATACAAAAGAAACTAGCAACCAGTGTAAGACACAAAACCAGAGACTTCCAAGTCAGGGCTCCTCCTACCTCTGCCTTCTTCTCTAAGGTCGGTGGTGGTGCTTGCGCTGACGGTAAAGAGGTCAGCCCCTCATTCTTCGGAGGCTCATTTTCAGCCTGTTCATTTATTGTTTTAGGCTGGTCCTTCTCCTGCAATCAGCAGTTAGGGGAAAGGCAAGAGTGAGGCTCAGTAACCCACACAGACCCAGGTTCCAGGGCTTCCCAGAATATTCAGATGTCAGGGGGATCCTCTCATCCCAAGAGATCTATGGGGTCATCCCTAAAGAGTCTAGTGTGTGGGTCTCTCTCTTACTCACCATTGGTCCCACATGGATTGGGTGTAGATGGTTCAAATCCCCTCAGGTCTGTGTTCCTCTAGCCATGGCATAGAGATAAAGAATGGAGAAGGGAAACCTATGATGTCATAAGGGCACTTACGACTGAAGCACCAGGATGGCTCCCAATAGTTGAGCCCCTACAAGGAGAAGACAGAAGTGCTGTCCATTCTTTTCTGCTGGAAATGGCCAAAGCCCTGGCTCCAACAGCAAGACACCAGAAATGGTGGCCTACTGATGTGAAGGTGGATAGTCGGTCATTGGTGATTTCCCCAGTTGGTAAAATTGGGCATTGATCTTATGGTTTACAGTCCATTCATACAATAGACTACAACATAACTATTGAAAAATAATGAATTTGATCTATATGTACTGATGAAAAAGTGTACCCAAGATATATGTAAGTGAAAAAGTTGAACATCATTATGACCCCATTGATGTAAATAAAACCATGAAGGTACATAATTATACATATACGTTATAAATGCAGATGAAGGGGGAGGAAGGTATATTTGCCAAACCGCTACCAATGACTGTCTTAGACCCATCCATGCAATGCCCAGGGAACTCTGTGAGGCCCCCAGGAGCAGCCATTCACCCACATACTCCCCTACCTGTGGCAGACTCCCTGTGTGGGCCCCTGAGGATGGCAAGTAGGAGACGTTGCAGATGACTCATGAGCATGCGTAGAAAGCCGGTCCACTCTGCAGGGTCCAGAGAAAGCACACAGGCTTGAGCACCACCCTAGGGAAAGCAAAGGAGGCTATCAGAATCCCACCTGGCTTTGCGGGATTGAGGGAAGGCACACATTCTTAAGAACTCCCCACCCCACCCTCAGAGGGAACATGAAGTGTGCAGCAGGTGTATCCACAGAAAAGCTCAGAGAAAGCCTCAGATTCCCTCCTAGGAATTCTGACAGAAAAAGAAAGGAGCAGAAAGCTAATTTAAAGAAATAATAGCTGAGAACATCCAAATCCAGCAAGAGATTTAGGCATCCAGTTCATGACATTCATAGGTCCCCAGGTTCAATCCAAAGCCATATTATAGTAACACTGCCTAAAATCTCATCTCCTTGTGACTACAATGAAACCACAACTGATTGCCAAACAACCATTAAAAAAAAGACTGGAATCTAGCAAAAAAATATCGTATTCAACTGGAAACATAAAGGGGGAACCACAGCAGGACAGCAGGAAGGACGTGCTCACAATATAATCGGGCCCCATACCCCCAGGTGGGTGATCCACAAGCTGAAGAATAATTAAGTCACAGAGGGCCTCCCACAGGAATGAGAGCTCTAAGCTCCATGTCAGGCTCCCCAAGCCAGGAGGAGGAGGAGACTCCAGGACATCTGGTTTTGAAGGCTAGCGGGGCTTAGCTCCAGGAGCCCCACAGGACTGGAGGAAACAGAGACTTCATTCTCTTGGGAAGCATACACAGAATCTCATGTGCACCAGGTCCAAGGGCAGAGGCGGTAATTTCATAGGAACTGGGGCCAGACCTGCCTGCTGGTTTTAGAAGGTCTCCTGAGGACTTAGGGGACAGCTGCAGCTTGCCCAGGAGACATAAAGGCTGGTGGAGGACTTTCCAGGAGTGTTCATCTACATGAGCTTTCCTAGAGGCTGACATCTTGATTGGATCATCAGCACCAAGACATAGCCCCAACACCCTGTAGGGAAGCCTCAGGCCAAACATCACCCATCAGCAGACTTCCTAAGCCACAAACGCCTCTAGACACCGCCCTACCCCACAGAGGTCCAGGACTAAGCTTTACCTGTCAGTGGGAACACACACACTTCTCCTGCCAGGAAACCTGCATAAGGCGCTAGTCCAGCCTCATCCACCAGAGGGCAGACACCAGAAATAAGAAAACAACAGCCCCAAAGCCTGTGGAAGGAATCCACAAACCCAGTCCAGACTCTGCCCTGGGACCCGCTGGACCCTGGCCCTTGGATGACAAGAGAGGAGTGTACTCCTGGGACGCATAGGACGTTTCCCACAGAGGGCCACCTCTCTCTAAGGTTGACAAATGGAACTAACCTACCTCAAAATACAAACAGAAAGATAGACAATATGAAGCTGCAGAGGAGTATCTCCCAGGCCAAAACACAAGATAAAAATCCCAGAAGAAGAAATAAGTGAGGAGGAGATAGGCAATTTATCCGAGAAAAAGTTTAAAGTAATGATGGCGAAGATGTTCAGAGAACTCAAGAGGAGTACAGGTGCA